CACGCACGCCGGCACGCCGGCTCGCCGGCCGACGGACTATGAAAGCAGCCAACGATGGCGATTCGAGGGCGATCTTAGGTCTCGGACAGGACGCGGACCCTTGCTCTACGGGTGCCGTGTATTCCTACGCTCCATGTACTATTTTTTCTATTTTATATTCTTCATACATTCCATTTGCCGCCCACCGATTTTTTACCTCCCTGCTATTCTTAACGTGTGTCATGAGATTCTTGAGCGCCTTTTTTTCTTCTTCACTTTTGATAAATCGGTCAGCCACTCTGTGAGCTACATACATATATCCATGTAACTTGGAATTGTTTGTAGAATTTTGCTATTGTTTACGAAATGTTTCACGAATTGTTGCTAGAAGTATATTTGATTTGTATTTCCGTTGTTGATATTACTATCAAGAATAATATTAATATAATACATATATAATATAATATATGCATATATAATGCAATCCGAGCCTACTGGCTTTACACTTTTTTATAAGGTCTTTTTCGATCCATTCCTGTCCTCAATATGCCCACCCACGCATTCGACTTCTATCTTTCTGGGGTACAATGCAGTGCCTGTCATATGTATTCTCCGAAACAATCCTCTCACAGATGATTGATCTTGCCCCTCAAGGGCCGTAGAAGAAATCCAAAAATAACAAGAAGTCACTTAACAATAGTAGCTCATCTGAGAGCAAAACAGAGTGACCTTTTCTCAAAAACCGTAAAAAAAACGACGGCAAAGGTATCAAGAGAAAAACTACCACGGTTATGAACACTAGTGAGTTAACTAGAGGACCGATGAGGCGGTGCGGGGGAGACGACGTCCGCTCTTTTCCGAAATCAAGAGCGACTCTTCCGGTTGCCCTCCAATCCCTAACTTTGAGCACCTCAGTTGCGCCAAATTTATTTTATATGTCCACATGTCACTACATATTCCCACGACTTCTATCATCTAACAAAGGCATTCATAACCATCAACAGTGCTCTCTACTTTTGGGCCGCTCATCTCTACAGCCTATTCTGAGCGGTCCTTTTCGTAAAGAGGTGTAGGCGTAGACCCCAAGGCAGTATGTATGTAGTTTTCTAACTAAAGTAGGACCGTCAGTATGAAGCAAGTCAAATGGCCTTGGGCAGTACCGTTGAGATTTACCCATCCTCGAAAACGAGGAAATTTGTGATGAATTTGTGATATCATTGTAAAAACATCCGTATTACTTCATTGTACAAAGGGATCAAGCAATTAACGTTAAAAATACCTGACATCGTTAAAGAAACAAATTCCCGGTAACTTATAGATCACAGTCAAAAGAAAGTACTACCGAAAATAGAGGAAAACATCTGGATATGCATATGTATAACAAATAAATAAATAATTAAGAACTAAACAACTGCAAATTCTTTTTGATCAAATCTATGATGTTCTGAACGGAACTGCCCAGTGATTGAAGAGATTTGGCGAAATTAGGCCTGAAATACCGAGGATCACGATTCGTTTAAGCAATTAAACTTCGGGTTTGATTGGACAGCAACGAATCCGAGCCCTACTGACCTCTGAAAATTGCTGGCATTGAGCAGT